CAAATTCAAGTTCTGAGCGTCTGAGCGTGAGAATTGTTAAATGTCGTTGGCGTTGTACTTTTCTGCTCAGTCCGCTTATTTTGGCGAGCTAACGATTGTTGAATGTAAACAAAAATGAATTCCTAGCCCATGCAATACCAGGAGTGGGTCTAGTAGTGTGAAGTTGCCAACGTTTGCCTGAAGGATTGGGATCCGCCACGTAAAAACTGCAATGTTCTCGGAATTCGGGCATCACGGCGCCTTCTATAGGTGACAGGTATAGAAGTGAAAATTCAGTGTAGGATTAGTGCTGGGAGAGAAATAGTGTCACATGGTAGTATCGTCCACGCCTCGATAAAAGATAACTGCTCTTAGCGATTTCTTTTTTTGGTTCCACTGTCGGAAAATGCAGTCTACACGACGATAACAGAGTCAGGTTGATAGACGCCCGAAGCGTAGAAGTTTTAGAACTAGGCTCCAGCACAAAGCGGTTTATTACAATACATAGCTGTTTCCAAATCGTAACAAGTTTTGTCTTCTCAGAGAAAAAGATGTCGCCTATTGGGCCATGCAGAACTAGGGAAAAAATTTCGCATATGTCGATATGTGTACATATATGTATATTACTGTGTTCAACAATCGCGTCACTAGTTCCGTCTTGTCTAAATTAGATAAGAAAGCTAGTGGATCTGACATTGAACGAAGACAAAAAGATGCAGCTTCTCTCATTAAGCGAGCATTCGCATGCGATGAAAAGACCAAGTCGCCAATTAGCAAGAAGAAATGTATGGTCTACCAAATCCCTGAAGCGTTTATAGCGCAAAGGAATACGATAAACATATAAACAAATTTTCTGCATCACTATATATATTTCTGGTTGGTCTGGCGGTGAATGAAGACAAGACGAAGGACGTACTCCTGGCAACATACAAAGAGTCCAAGCATTTCGGGACACACGTCACTGTTGGCAGCTATAACATTGAAGTAGTGAAGGACTGTGTCTACCTAGGATCCAGCATAAACACCACCAATAACGTCAGTCTGGAGATCAAGCGAATAATAACTCTTTCTAACAGGCGCTACATTGGGCTCGATAGGCAAATATTTAAAAAGGAGATGAAAAATCACGTTCTAAAAATCTCTCATATCATATCATATCGGTTCTTCTATATGGCGCAGAAACGTGGACGACGCTTTCGAGGGAACTATTCTACGCAAGATCTACTGCTCCATTTGCGTGGATGACGGGTTGCGGAGAAGATGGAATAGACGAACTCGATGAGCTTTCTAAGGACATGGACATAGTTAAGCGCATAAATATACAGCGATTGCGCTAGCTTTGGTATATTGTACGCATAATTGACGAAGCTCCGGTGAAGAGAAAGCAAAGGCGCCTAGGAACAAAAGGAGGGACCAGGTGCCGAAGGACTTGTCTGCCCTCGGGATGAGCAACTGGCGCAAATTCGCACAGGAGATAGGTAATTGGAGGTTTTTGGTTTTGGCCCAAACCGACAAACGGTTGCAGTGCCAAAAAGAAGACGTTATTTTTATTGATTGAAACATATTAAGCCTGTTACGACACCTGAGTGGAAGATAAACCTATCTTGGCAGCCAATTCGAAAACGCTCTAGTTAAGAATTTGATTGAAAAATTCCCTATCTCAGAATTTGGTTCAAAACATCCAACCTCAGCTGCCGATTCAAACCCGCTTTATCTCAGCACATTTTCAATGTATTTTCAGCTGATATAGGGCGTTCTTCAACCAAATTCTGGGGTGTTTTTCGATAAAATTCTGAAATAGGACGTTCTTGAAAAGTTTTCGGAGATAGCGCGTTTTCGAACTGGCCGCCGGGATAGGTTGATCTTCCACTCAGGTGTCGATTATTAATAGATGAATTATAATATTGATATTTTTTTCAATGCTCACCACTTCTGGAGCCTTGCAACGACATATAAATTAGGTAGGATATTTCACAGACTCTTACACAATTCTAAATGTTACACAACAATTTATCGTACATAACTACTTATGTATAAAATGCCTTTGGGAAACCCAAATCGAGTCCTAGTGTGGCACGATTTCATTCATTTTCCTCAACTATCGAAATGAAAGAAAACACACACTAGCACCATTTCATTGCAACATACGTGGAGTGCCTTGCAACAACCGCTCTTCATGTCACGAACTGTCACGCTCAAATGCATTCACATATGTATATATGTACATTAAGCCGGATCACCAAAAAAAAAATTCAATTTGTTCCAAGCGATTTTAAACAGTCACTATGAGAGTATTTCAGAAGTTTAAATATTCGGCTCTATCGCGAATTTCACATAAACAAATGTTCCCAAAAATTAAAAATCAAAACAATTTTTCCCAATTTGTTTTTCTTTTGCACGCTAAATTATGGGAACAATTTATTCACATGGAATTTGCGATAGGGCTGACTGTATCTTTTGGCACCATGTTAATACAGTTAAATCGGTTTTTATACCTTTCATGAGCATGAAATGGTATTATAACTTTGGTCCGATGTTTGTAAGTACCAGAACAAAAAGAGATAGACCCATGAAAATGTATACTTATATGATCAGAACGTCGAGCTGAGTTGATTTAGCCATGTCCGTCTGTCCGTCTGTCCGTCTGTCCGTCTGTCCGTCTGTCCGTCTGTCCGTCTGTC